TTAATAATTTTAAAAAATTTTCTTAACAAAGTTAATAAAACAAATCTAAAATTAAATATTTTATTTAGAAAATATATTGCTAAAATTAATATTTAACATTTTATTAGAAAAATTTAAAATTTAAAAAAAGTTGCAGGCAAACTTGGCTGCAAAACAATATAAGAGATAGGTATATTAGAAACTAATATTAGCAATAGAGAACTACAACTCAACAGAGTCAACTTAAAAGAATATCAAACACATGTAACCAAAAAGCAAATTGAAAAGCAAAAACGATCAGGCAATACTACTAATCATATTGTTAATTATTATTTAAATAACAATAAGCTATATTTAAATTTTACAAATTTTTATAAATTTGGTAAATTTGGCAAAATTAGCAAATTTATCTTAGAATTTTTTACAATTGCAAAATTATAAATAACTTAACTAAAGGTATAATAGTCTAATATAGTTGGTTAGTTATTATTTCCAAGCTTTTTATAACTAAAAATATAGAGTTCAAATCTTACTAGTGATATTTTGAATAATTATCTTGTATTATAATAACTAAACTTCATTAATTAGTTGAGTTCTAAAGCCTGTAACTTTGATTAAACTAGTACATTTGTATATTAAAAGGTTTTAAAAGTATCTATATAATATTAAAGTTATACAAAGGAATACAAACTTATAATAAACCTTTTAAAACTGTAAAAAACTAAAAGAGAACCTAAAAATTGAGAACCAGCTTGAGAAGATCTAAGTAAAAAAATAATACAAATCTTTGACAGTGCTATAGAAAAAGCCAAAACTTCTGTTATTATTTTAGTAAGTGGGGGCTAATTAATTAAGTTAAATACCAGAATACTATTAGTAATATCATGTGTTATGACTAGAGCTGCAGATATTTAGAAGGTTCAAGATAGTATGTCACTCTTTATATTATATTAAACATTTTATTATATATGTCATATCAAATATTATAGTATATATTTATTGATATTCTAAAGTTTGTAGCTCTAGTTGTGATCAAATATCATATGAAATAACAAATTAGTTCTGAGTTTAACTTGGAACTAAGTCAAAATTAAAGCTATTCTTATAAATTCTGGGACAAGTAATAAAAATTTAACCAAAAATTAATTTAGCCAAATTCGATAAGCTTTTGATCTTGATTATATAAGCTTTTAATTTTAATATATTTTAGACAGTGTTTGTAAATATAAATATGATAATATGAATATTTATATACTATGTCTAAATCAAACATATAAGCTCATATTCAAAAGCAAATACAAATTTTGGTATTACAATATAAGTCATTAAACAATATATATATATTATTAATATTATTGTATTAGCTTATTGTTATCTGTTATTGTATATACATACAGTATGTTAGTGTTGTTATGGAACAACTTTGAACAATACTTTGAACAATCTTGGACAATCTTAGACAATTAAATAAAGTAAAATTACTTAAAATTTTATTAAAATAATCTATTTTAATTTT